TACTGTTCTGTACTTTTCCCTTATTACCTAGGGAGATGGTACATAGTGGTATTTATTTTATTTTGTGCTATTAAAAAAAAAACATTTATAAAAATTCCAGTGAGAATTAGTTCAATTGGGTCACCTGTTTACTTTTCCCAGAAGTGTGTTTGTGTACAATGGAAGGCTGGTTGGAGTGACTCCACTTCCTGTCAGTATCAATCCCAGAGCTCATCCATAACATTTCAGACATAACATTTCAGATTAGCTTTTTGTCTTGTGTTGGACATGAGATTAAGCAGAAAAGATCTTGTCATGTTCTTATGTCCCTGTCATGTACACAGTCCACTAGCCTCCAAATAAGTACATTTTTGTGGTATTCGAATTGGAATAATTGTTTCTTCTTATGTCAGTCCTAGCTAACCTTTTCTGTTTAGGAATTCATCTCCCTTTCTTCCTCATCTAATCTCTTCCCTTCTGCTTTCCTCCAATTTTCTCCCCTCCCCCATACTCCACAACCTCTTCAATTTATCTGGAATATGGTTTTGGCAATACAAGTGTACAAGTGTGAGCTGAGCAAAATTGTGTTTCACCTAAAATTAGAATTAAGATGGTAAAAGGAGATTTTTGAATGCCAGGGACTCCTTTCAGTTTTGCCATTCTTCTGACACAGCTCTCTTGCTATATTGATACCTCATCAAAAAACAAATATAATCTCAACGCTAAGAGGATTGAATAATGTGTCTCTAATCCATACCAAAGAACATTTGCTTCTTTCTTTTTTGGCCTTTTGTGATTATCTATCTTTATCTTCACGTTATAGTGTTGACAGACATAGTGATATCAAAAAGAATATATTTCTAACGATAATGGAGATGCTTCTTTGATCATTGAAGGCTTGAGGAAAAGGGCCTCTGAGTTTGGCAATGTTGGTGGGTTTATAAGTATTTGAGAACTACTTATGACCACTAGGAAAGACTTGTTATGCTTGTAAGAAAAATCCCCACTTCTGGAGCAACCATATCTACCTTCTTGAGATTGTAAAATTATTTTGTAATAATTGGAGTATAAAGTATGTATTTGATATTGAAATAATTCCAGAATATTATAATTTGGCCTAATTGTTTAATACCCATGTGGTATTAATTTGGGCACATTTAAACAAATGCCACCCACAAGCTGCTAATATATTTATAGGATAAAGTCCTAGAAATGAAATTTCTAAGACCTTTTCTTTCTCTTTACAAATAACATATACATATCCTGCCCTTTTTTCTATCCCTTCCCCAAGAAAATACTGTGAAGATCTTTGAAAATATAAATATGTATATATATATTTGTATATTCCATATATAGAATTGCTTTATTCTTTGTAAGAACAGCATGCTATTTTACTTCATTGAAACAGTGCTCTTGATGATCACTTAGCTTATTTTCAAGTCTTATATTATTAGGAACAATGTTGCAGTGTTGACACTTTGAATAGAGTTGTGATTCAAGGAGTATATGACAAGTTTTGATCAATATTGCAACTGTAGAGGTATTGAAGTGTTTATATTGCTTGTGTCTTTATTAGCATATATTAGTTGTACAGGGAGTTCCATTGTTACACAGGTGTATACAATGTATCCTCTCTATCACTTTCCCTTTCCCACCCCCCTTCTTAAGGCAATTTCATCAGGTTTCTTTGTTATATTTTCTACATACAAATAAACTACATAGACCATATTCATCCTCATCATTCATCCTCTTTCTTAGCACCCACTGGTGCCCCCACCCCAATAGGAACTCATGTTACTTTCCTGTCATGCATTTTTTTAGTGTGCATTAGTTGCACAAAGGGATTTCACTATGGTAGTTCAGATATGCATATATTATGTATTGCTCAGAATAACTCCACCCCCATCAATCCTCTGTTGATTAACAACTTTCACGCTGCCTTCATACACAGTTCTGTTTCACAATGACCCTCCATCTTTCCTTTTCCTCTCCACTTATAATAAATAATCCCATATTGAGAATCATGTGTGTGTTTGTATTCTTATGTATGTGGGCATATGTATGTATATACATGTTCATGAGTATGTATGTCGTTTAGTTCTAGTTTCTACATAAGAGCAAAAACATACAATATTTGGCATTTTCCCTCTCACTGAAAAAGCACTCCCATCAGCAATGTATAAGTAATAAATGATTATTTTTCCATTCTACCCATCCTGAACAGAGCCGGTAAGGACTTCTTTTTAATCTTAAGCAGTCTTTTTGTATTCTTTTTAAAAGGTATATCTATATAATTAACTTAGATATTTCATTGTGAATGTTGAGCTTTTTTTTTTTTTTTTTTTGGTTGTGGGGCTTGAACTCTGGATCTGGGCACTGTCCCTCAGCTCTTCAGCTCAAGGCTAACGCTCTACCACTTGAGCCACAGTACCACTTCTGGTTTTCTGGTGGTTAATTGGGAGATAAGAGTCTCATGGACATTCCTGTCCAGGCTGGCTTTGAAGGATGATCCTTAGATCTCAGCCTCCCGAGTAGCTAGGATTACAGGTGTGAGCTACTGGCGCCCTGCTATGTTGAGCATTTTTAAAGCCAGTCTTTACTTTACTTTTACTTTTCTTTGAATTTTCTTTGTTATTTCCTGTAAGAACATTGGTGTTTTCTTATTGATTTGTATTTTGTTTTTTTTTGTTTTTTTTTTCTCCAGTCTTGCGGCTTGAACTCTGTCCTTGAGCTTCTTTTGCTCAAGGCTAGCACACTACCACTTGAGCCATGGCACCGCTTCTGACTTTTTCTGATTATGTGGTACTTAGGAATTGAACCCAGGGCTTCATGCATGCTAAGCAAGCACTGTACTATTAAGCCACATTCCCAGACCTATATTTTGTATTTTTTTTAATATTTAGACATTTGTTTTGTGAATTGTAAATATCTCCCAATTTTCTGTTCATATTGACTCATTTTTTTTTCACATGTGCAAGTATTTTTCATCAGATTTATCAATAGGATTCTTAGACCTACTGTTTTTTCCTAGTATTATAATTTCTTTGTTTTGTTTTGTTTTTTACATTTAGCACTGATTTGTTGTGGAATAAACTATGGCTTAGGGTTCATTTTTTTTAATGAGTGGCTATTCAGTTGTCCCTAAATCTCTTGTCAAATCCATTTTTCCCATATTTGAAGTGATACCCTTTCATAGACTAAAGTCCTAAGTATATCTTAGTTATGAAATGAGTAATAAAACCTTAAGACTGAAATGCATTTTAAGATAATTTTCAGAGATTAAAGAAATGAGAAAGGATAAATGTTGATTTATATACTTTTATACTTTTTAACCACTAAAATTTGTTTAAAAATATATACCACCCAAATTTGTTTAAAATATATATATGTGCTAGATCAGAGATTCAGCAATTAGAAAGGCTAATGGAGTCATCCTTCATATAAAAGGTTGCTAAGTTGATATATTGAACAACAGGAGCATGTTTCCTTCCACCATTTATTATAGGCTATTGATACACATACATGACTAGTGAATTTAGTGTCTCTTAATGAAGTGCTGTCATATACTATAACCATATACTAATAACCAGACTAAGAAATCACTAACCTCTAGTATAAGATTAGACATATTATAGGTTCAGTTGGCAAATATATACCCTACTTTGAATCTAAATCTTGATTTCTCCTGCTAAAAAAAATCAGTTTTGTCATGCAGACTTAATTATTTTCATCTATTCTGCTCAAAAGATTTTCATTCAATTGGAACAAATTTCTGGACCCACTGCTCCCTCTTTTTTTTCTTTAAATGGAAAACATGTGGTTCATATCATGAAGATCTTCTTGAAACAGTAGGAAAAGAATAGAAATAATATTTGCATGTAATGTGAAAAGCAGGGGGTTAATGTTTAGTTGTATAAGCTCTAGAAGTTGTTTTGTTTTTGGTGGTGGTGGTGGTGTGTGTGTGTGTGTGTCCATCCATCTGTCCATCTTGGGGCTTAAACTAAGGACCTAAGCACTGTCCTTGAGCTTTTTAGCTCAAAGCTAGTGAGTCGTGGCTCTTCTTCCAATTTTTTTGGTAGTTAATTGAAGATAAGGGTCTCATGGACTTTCCTGCCTGGGCTGGCTTTGAACTGCAGTCCTCAGATCTCAGCCTTCATAGTAGCTAGAATTAGAAGCATCAGCCACTAGTGCCTGGGCATCCAAAACCTTTTTTTTTTTTTTTTAATGAGACTAGATTAATAAGATATGACTTTGCTAAGGGAATGAGATATTGTTATGCCTTTATTTCTGAAGTACACTGTGTTGGAAAGGAAAGGATCTAACCTAGGTAGTTACTATGTTAATCATGCTACATATAAAATTCTAGATTCACTATGCCAAAAAGGGGGAAAACCATTTCTTTCAGATTTACTTGAGCTCTCTACATACATTATAGGCAAGATGCATAGCATCCCATAAATAAAAAGTTTGAAAGCAAGCCTAGACACAAATTTCTCTAAAAGTTATTTTAATCTTTCTCTTTTGCACTGAACTAGCTAATTTTTATTTCTCATATTTCTGTGCTTACTGTGAGGTGTTATTCTAGATGCAATAATGATTATACTTCCTTTTTAAGGCATCTGTGTGGAACTATGGCCTTTTCATTTCCTGACAAGATGCATGGGGATTGATATTTTGGTTGAATTTTGGATGTACAAACACATCGGTCTTATTTTGTATCACTAACAGCCCACAGGGTTGGCTGCTATGTACTGAACTTTCTGTTCTAGACTTTCTGCCAAGTACTTTATGCAAAACTCTGGTTTTAGTGAAACAGGTTTTATTGTTTTTAGTCAGAGACATATTATAAGATGTTAGCTGTGTCGTGCAAACAGAAGAGTTGGTATGTATATATAGCCATGAAAACAAATTACCACAACGGTCCTGACTTTGTTCAAGTGGTTGTTTTTCCTCCCATTCCTATATCTCAGTTCATGTTGTTTACTGCTACAGGCCTGAGATGGTGTCATTTTCTTTTCTAGGAACTTGGAATTAGAATTCCTCGACCACTAGGACACGGACCAAGCAGATTCATCCCAGAAAAGGAGGTATGTTGTTTGTGAAAGTAGACAGTGAACTGCATGCTTTTAAGGAAATGTTTTCATGACCTACATCTTGGTATTTGAATGATTATTGGTCAACAAAGTGTTTTTTTGCAGTTGATGACAGTTAATCATACTTTGGCAGTGAGTTTATGGGATTAGAAAGCTGTTGTAGACATGTTGATTTCTAGTATGTCATAATGTTTTTTAAACACCCATATTTTTAATCAAATAAAGCTGAGACTTGTTTTTGACTGATAATATTCCACCTGCTTATATTTAGATCTTGCTTAATTAGGTGTGCCTGTAAACTGAATTACTTGTTCTTGACCATCTTCACAGGCTATTTTGAACTCTAAGTCAGGTCTTTAATTCTGCATATGTAAAAGGGTTTATGCTTTGTTTTCATACAGATTGTTGCTATTAGTTAATTTTGGTTCTCTTTAAATGTAATGAAAGTGGGCACTATTATAAGAAAAAGCTTTCATGTCTGCTTGCAAGCTCTGCAAATTTGATAATCTAAATCTGCTTCTTTGTCTGGACTCTGGCCAACTCTGCAAGCAGCCGATCTTGATGGCCTTTAACATTCAGCCTTGGTTGTTTATTCCCTACTGTATAATGTGTCTTCTGTTTTGCTACAAGTTTAAATTCATAACCCCTCTCTTAAGCCAAATTTAATTTGCTTCTAAATGACACAATGCAGCTAATGCACATTATCTTTAACACCAATTTATAATTTACATAACCCTGGCTTTCTTCTCATTTATACAGATTCTCCAAGTGGGGAGAGAAGACGCACAGATGCATGCTTTATTTGCAGATTCTTTTGCTGCTTTGGGTCGTTTGGATAACATTACATTAGTGATGGTTTTCCACCCACAATATTTAGAAAGTTTCCTTAAAACTCAACACTATCTACTGCAAATGGATGGGCCATTACCCCTACATTATCGGCACTACATTGGAATAATGGTTTGTAAACATTTGATGAAAAATCCTGCATGCCTGAAATCTCTAAGAGATAGTTAATTGCTTTAAACATAGGGATAAATACTTACATTCTGACTTGTAATTGGATTCCTATAAGGAAATATCTATTTGGGCTAGAAATGTGGCTTAGTGGTAGAGTGCTTGACTAGCATGCATGAAGCCCTGGCTTCAATTCCTCAGTACCACATAGACACAAAAAGCCAGAAGTGGTGCTATTGCTCAAATGGTAAAGTGCTAGCCTTGAGCTAAAGAAGCTCAGGGACAGTGCCCAGAACTAGAAAAAAAAAAAATCGCTATTTCCTGTTTTTATAACTTTGAACTCAAGTCCAAAAAAAATTCTAACATATTTATACTATGCTGAGAGCCATTTTTATGTTCAATAAAGTTGAACATAAGACCTATCTTATTCTAAATACTTAACATGACACAAGTAGTGTTAAACCTGATCAGTTTGTAAGTTATATTCCATTTTTATGCTCGGCAACTTAATCGAATTTTCTTAAACTGAACTTCTAAAATTTTTTTTTTTTTTTTTTTTTGTCTGTCGTGGGGCTTGAACTCTGGGCCTGGGCGCTGTCCCTCAGCTCTTCAGCTCAAGGCGAGCGCTCTACCACTTGAGCTACAGCGCCACTTCCGGTTTTCTGGTGGTTTATTGGAGATAGGAGTCTCACGGTCTCTCCTGCCCGGGCTGGCTTTGAACCACGATCCTCAGATCTCAGCCTCCTGAGTAGCTAGGATTACAGGCGTGAGCCACCAGCGCCCGGCTTGAACTTCTAAAATTTGTATGTCGGTAAAATTTCTATAGTTCAGATTTATTTTTTTAACAAATATTTGTTCTTGGAATAATTCTGAAGTATTTCCTATGAAGTAGTTGGACCTTTTAGTTTCTACATGAAAACTGTATCTCTGTAGTACACAGAAAAGTTTAAAAGATACTAATTAAAAACAACTTTGATATTGAAACAGATTGGTAATACTTCAAGATTTTCATACCTATAGTTAGAATATCTTTTTGCTTTCTCTTAAGGCTGCAGCAAGACATCAGTGCTCCTACTTGGTGAACCTGCACGTAAATGATTTCCTTCATGTTGGTGGGGACCCCAAATGGCTCAATGGTCTAGAGAATGCTCCTCAAAAACTACAGAATTTGGGAGAACTCAACAAAGTATTAGCCCATAGACCTTGGCTTATTACCAAAGAACACATTGAGGTATGTAGTAATGTATCTTGAGCATCATTTAAAAATTTTTAAAGATAGGCTTACTGACAAAGTGCACATAAAGTACAGAGTTTCCATTTTTCAGCTCCCTCTCAGAGATACATTTTCCTACTATTATCAGCATCTGGGATTTTCTATGGTACATTTGTTGATCAATGTTGATTTGTTGCTATTAGGTGCATCCTTCACAATGGGTTCACTCTTCGTGTTGTAAAATTCCAGAGTTTTTACAAGTGCATGTCATCATAATATGATTGCTATAGAATATAAAGGAGCAAATAAATAGTCATATCCCTGTGCTTCCCCCTAAATGCATACAACTGCTGGTTTTTTCCCTTTCTCGAAAAAGTTTTGCTACATTTTAGAATGTCATATATTCAGATTGGCCTTTATTTATCAAAATGCATTTGATGTTCTTCCTTATTTTTTGATAACCTGAGAGAGCATTTATTTCTGTTTTACTCCAGTGTATGGATATACCATATTTTATCCATTCACCTATTAAAAGGACATCTTGATTACTGCCAGTTTTGGCCAATTATAAATAAAACTGTTACAACATTCATGGGTTAATATTTTAGTAGACAAAAGTTTTTAGCTCACTTGAGCAAATTACTGTTAGGTCTTACAATGAGCTAATTTTCAGCTTTGTAAGAAAACTGTGCCATACCTAAACTATGCCATTCCAGTCTGCATGCCAATAATGGTGAAGAAGCATTCCTTTGCCAGCATTGGTATTGGTGTTTTAAATTTTAGCCATTCTAACTGACACTGCATTGTTAGTAAAAAAATAAATAAATAAATAAAGATGCCTAACAATGTCATCTTAAACTAATTCCTTCTGGTTCTACAGTAAATGACTAATTTTTTGGTTTACTCTTTCTTTAAACATCTACAATAATAGATGATGTCAAAAGGGATATAAGTATTTTATTAATCATATTCAAATTGTATTATATTGTCAAGGAGAAATTGCACAAGATTATAATGTAACGATAAAGACTTATAGGACTTATGCCTGACTTTTTTCCCCCTTCAGGGATTTATGCTTGCTTAGGCAGGTGCTCTACTACTTGAGCTACACCTCTTGCCATTTTTGCTTGGATTATTTTTGAGATAAGGTCTCAGTTTTTTCCCCTGGGCCAATCTGGACTGTGATCCCCTTATTTACATTTCCCATGTAGGGCTGACATGTATACTACCTCACCCAACTTACTGTTGAGATGGAGCCTTGAGGAGCATTGGCAGAATGGCTCAAGTGGTAGAGTACCTGCTTAACAAATTTGAGGCCCTAAACTCAAATCTCAATACCACTACCAAAAATTAAAAACAGAGATGAATCTCATGCACTGGGCTGGCCTTGAACTGTGATTCTCCTGATATTGTCTTCCTGTGTAGCTGGGACAACCCAGTCTGACCTGTCAACACCCAACCTTAATTTATAACTTGTACATAAGTATAATTTGATGATTAAATAGTATTGAAGCCACTTCAGATTATTGAAGTTACTCTCTTACATTTTTTTGAGGAGACTTGATAACAAAACACAACATTTTACACAGTAGCTTCCACTTGAAACATATAAATATTGTTTGAGGGGCTGGGAAGGTGGCTCAGTGGCAGAGCGCTTGCCTTGCATGCATGAGGCCCTGGGTTCGAATCCTTAGCACCACATAAGCAAAAAGAAACAAGCCGGAAGTGGTGCTGTGGCTCAAGTGGTAGAGCGCTAGCCTTGAGCTGAAGAGCTGAGGGACAGTGCCCAGGCCCAGGCCCACGACCGGACCCAAAAAATAAATAAATAAATAAAAATATTGTTTGAACTAATAACAGTATAATTTGTTATCTAACATCTGAAATACAACATATTTCTTTAAAAATGGATTTTGTAACCTGATGCTAGTGGTTCAGACCTATTATCCTAGTTACTCAGGAAGCTGAGATCTGAGGATTACTGTTCAAAGCCAGCCAGGGCAGGAACACTTATCTTCAAATAACCACCAAAAAAACAGAAGTGGAGCTGTGGCTTAAGTGATAGAGTGCTGGCATTAAGCAAACAATCTTAGAGACATCATCCAGGCCCTGAGTTTAAACCACCTGGCACCAAAAAACAAATTGTACTGTTTTTAAATCAATATTCAAAAAATAAAATAAAATCCCAGCCAGGCACTGGTGCTCACACCTGTGATCCTAACTACTCAAGAGTCTCAGGTTTGAGGCTCATGACTCAAAGCCAACACTTTTACCTCCAATTTACTGCCAAAAAGTTGGAACTAGAGCTGTGGTTCAAAGTGTAGAGAACTAGCCTTGAGAACCAAAGCTCAATGCCCAGGTCCTGAGTTTAAACTCCAGGACTGGTGCACTGGCGCACACACACACATACACAAACAACTAATGTGTTATTAGCAGATGTTCTATTTACAAATATATTTTCATAAACATTTAAATTGTAGGTTCTACATATACAAAATTGTTCTACAAATTTCATGTTGAAACTCTACCTTAAGTTTTATGTGGAATCCTGTTTTCAATGGATGATAAACTCTTCATTATTGTTTGTTTTGTACTAGTGTGGTCTTAAACTCCGGGCCTCCCACTCTCACTGAGCTTTCTTGTTCATGACTGGTGTGCTACCACTGAAGCTATATTTATCTCAGATTTTAATGCCAGGGATGTCTTCAAACCCAAATCTTCCAGGTCTCAGCTTCCTGAGTAGTTAGGATTATAGGCATGAGCCAAAGATACTCAAGCTAAGCCATATAATTTTACTGATACCTCCAAGTATAAGATGTTCCTTAATTTCTTTTTCCCTCCTCCCTTTCCTAAGGAGCTTTTAAAAGCTGAGGAGCACAGCTGGTCTCTGGCAGAATTGGTGCATGCCGTAGTTCTACTCACACACTATCATTCTCTGGCCTCATTCACATTTGGTTGTGGAATCAGTCCAGAAATTCACTGTGATGGTGGCCACACGTTCAGACCTCCTTCTGTTAGTAACTACTGCATCTGTGACATTACAAATGGCAATCACAACATGGATGAGATGCAAGTCAACTCAGCAGGAAATATTACGGTAGGTGTCTATTATTATGGGACTGTAATGAGACTATAATCACAATAATTGTTACATTTTCATTTGGCTCTTAGAAAATCCACCTTGTTAAGTCAACTAGACACCTATTCATTCATTAAGGACCTGTCTACATGTTAAGGTATATACAAAGATATAAGCCCCTCAAGGAGATTGCCCAAATGTAATTTTAGGGTCAGGAACCATCAGCATGTACTTCATCAATGCCAGCTAACCTGAATGTCTACAATAGTGAGATAAGGAGAAGCTGAAAATAATGTGGTCTGTTAGTACACACTTCCTGGTGCCAAAACAACCTTTTCTGCAAAACAAACAAGTTGGCTTCTTATTTGCTCAGCTTTTAAAGATTTAGTCAGTACTGATCTGGACATTTCTCCCCTTAAAAAATTATTTGGCCAGGCACTGGTGGCTCACACCTATAATCCTAGCTACTCAGGAGTCTGAGATCTGAGGACCACGGTTCAAAGCCAGCCCGGGCAGGAAAGGTCCATGAGACTCTTATCTCCAATAAACAACTCAGAAAACCAGAAGTGGCACTGTGGCTCGAGTGGTAGAGTGCTAGCCTTGAGCTGAAGAGCACAGGGACAGCGCCCAGGCCCAGAGTTTAAGCCCCACGACCAACCAAAAAATATACATATATTTTTTTTTTTTCCAGGGCTGGGAAGGTGGCTCAGTAGTAGAGTGCTTGTCTTGCATGAATAAGGCCCTGGGTTTGATTCCTTATACCATATAAGCAGAAAAAGCGGTGCTGTGGATCAAGTGGTAGAGCACTACCCTCGAGCTGAAGAGCTGAGGGACAGCACCCAGGTCCAGATCGACAAAAAAAAAAAAATTCTTTTTCATGACTAACTTTATAGAAACATACAAAAGGCATATGGATTGTAAATTTTGTTAATGCTTTCCACCTTTGTTCTTACCATCTTGTATTTTGTTCTTTTTTTAAAACAGATAAGAATGGGGCTGGGAATGTGGCTTAGTGGTAGAGTGCTTGCCTACTATGCATGAATCTCTGGGTTCGATTCTTCAGTACCACATAAACAGAAAAAGCCAGAAGTGGTACTGTGGCTCAAGTGGTAGATTGCTAGCCTTGAGCAAAAGAAGCTCAGGAACAGTGCCTAGGCCATGATTTGAAGCCCCAGGACTGGCAAAAAAAAAAATAAAAAATGAGTTAAGAAAAGTCTTGAGCTATCTGTATGTTTATAATATATTATATATAAATGTATTAAATATAGGTATTGGTGGTGGTCCTAGAATTGGCAAATAAGTACTCTTACTCTCCAGTCACACCCATGTTTTATTATGTTTTTAAAACTTCCATTCTATGAACCATCCTAATTTTTTTTACCATATTTTTGTGTGGCTACTGACATCTCAAAAACAAATATAGAAATGCATCTACCAGAATTTTCAGTTTCATCATAAATATATGTTCCATCATGGAATTACTAAAGAGTTTAATATAGGGTATTTGGCCTGTACAAAGCATATGAAAATCACAGTACAAGTAAGTAGATTATCTTTTAATATAACATTATCCTGACAGTCATTCTGTAACAAATATTTTTCAAATATCTGTTGTATACAGTTACTGTGCTAGATTCTGGATATATTCGAATAAATTGAACAAGTCCCCCATCCTGGGGGAAAGCTGGCTCCTGACAAACTTCATACAAATAACAATTATAAGTTGTGACTGGTTCTATGCAAGATTAATTACAGGTTAAGAAGTAGGAAATAGTTGATTAGAAGAAACATGTAACCTGATACATAAAGGATCAGTCAGTAGAAGCCAGGAAAAGTTGGAAGATAGAACTAAAAACCTTCCTGGCAAAAGAAAGGAAATTTATAAAGGGGGAATTACTAATATTATATCTGAACTTTGAGAGTTGATACTTTGAGACTTACTTGTTTTATAAAGTATATATGCCATAGATTTGATCCAATGTTTAGAGTAAGGATGCAATAAAGTATAGAAGTACAAATCATTTGTCTACTTGGCTACTCTTTATGTGCCAAGACCCTTCATTGTAGATGTGATACTGCTAGTCATCACAGCAAGTAACAGCTGCTAGCCCCATTTGCAGAGGTCAGGTGGCCAACTCCAGCCATGTGAGGACAAGTTTCACTTTTAACTGGTAAATTGTATAAATGGACAGTTACTATTTTAAAGATCATTAGAGGTAGACATGTTGACAATATGTGCAGTATACAGTTGATACAAAAACTATTATATAATACAAAACTATTAAACTTTGTGTAGCTTATTTAACTAATTGAGCAACTAGAAGTTAACTTTTTAAACATTCAGAATTTTTTTTTTTTGCCAGTCCTGGGACTTGAACTCAAGGCCTAGGCACTGTCCCTGAGTTTTTTGTTGTTGTTTTTGCTCAAATAGCACTTTTTCACTTGAGCCACAGCACCATTTCCAGCTTTTACTCTTTATGTAGTACTAAGGAATCAAACCCAGGGCTTCCTGCATGCTAGGCAATCACTCTACCATTAAGCCACATTCCCAGTACATCAGATCTATTTTAATATTTAAAACAACATGAATAGTAATGGCTATTATTGACTTTTAAAGCAATTGATAAAGATCATTTTCTCTTATATTTTAAAATCAGAATATATATATATGTCTGTGTGTGTGTGTGTGTATATATATATATATATATATATATATATATATATGTGTGCGCCCAGTAGGCTAATTAGTATTCTAATTATTTATGCATGTACAATAAAATTATGAGGAAATCTATCTTTACTATATTCTGGTAGGACAATTTTTGGGGGGTGGAGAGCCTTTTACCAGTACCAGTGTTTGAACTCCCAGCCTCATGCTCTTGCTCAGCTTTCTAGCTCAAGACTGAAGCTCATCCACATCTCCAGTCCAGAATTTTGTTGGAGATGAGTTTTGTAGACCTTTCTGCCTGACTTGATCCTCCCAGTTTCAGCATCCTGAATAGCTAGGATTGCAGGTGTGAGCCACCAGCATCTGGCAAGATACAAATTCTTAAGAGACAGACTTAATAAAATTCCATTCTACAACTGCCCTGTGTAACATTGTATTTGTTCTGTCTTCAGGTAAGTGATTCCTTCTTTGAGGTCGAAGCCCTCATGGAGAAGATGAAGCAGTTACAGGAATGTCGAGATGAAGAAGAGGCAAGTCAAGAGGAGATGGCTTCACGTTTTGAAATAGAAAAGAGAGAGAGCATGTTTGTATTCTCTTCAGGTAAAAGCAACATGAACACAGTGGATATAATTTATATTGCAAACCCTTTTTAATTGAAGTAACTAATTTACTTAATTTCAGTAAGTTTTAAAACATCCATCTAAATATCTCTTTCCTTTTAGGGAGGCTACTGCATTAGGTATTCCTTCTTTGAGATAATTTTTAAAGCAGGCAACTAAGGAAAGGTTATATGGGAAAATAGCACTAGACATTAGGTTTGGTTTCTGGCATTAAAATCACTGCTAATAAGCTTTGTGAAGTAAGTCACTTAACATGTGAATGTCCCCTTTAATTCTTTTAAAACGAAGACACTGAATTAATAAGGCCTCAAAATTGTTTTGAGCTTTTCTATGATTTGGAAAAGGAGCTGTTTATTAAATTATCAATAACATTAGTCCTTTGTGCTTAACCTTTATATGCACGCCTTAGAATGTAATATGTAAACCATGTAATTTTAAAAGCTTATGAATGTTCTCTAAATATATTTTGACAAGCACGGAGAAGGAGAATGTGTTACAAACATCAAGTTTTATAGCAAAGAAAAGAAAAAATGTACAAAGAGAGTTGATTGCTAACCTATTGTTCTTAAGGGAAAGTTTTTATTTCTATTCATGCCTGAAGATGTAGAATTTTCATAAATATTGTATTTACTTAAAAACTGTAATCTTACCAGGCACTGGTAGCTCACGCCTATAATCCTAGCTACTCAGGAGGTTGAGAACTGAGGATCATGGTCCAAAGCTAGCCTGGGCAAGAAAGTCCAGTCCATGAGACTTAACCTCCAAACAACCACCAAGAAACTGGAAGTAGAGCAGGGGGTCAAAGTGGTAGAGCCATAGCCTGGAACAAAAAAGCTCAAGGACAGCACCCAGACACCTGAGTTCAAGTCCCATGGCAAAAAAAAAAAAAATACCTAATCTCATAAACTCTTCAACATAATTAAAGGAAAAAGGCTTGCAGATACCACAGGAACTTTTAGATGATAACTGGTTTTAATAGTTATTATCACTTTAAAGATTGGCCAAGGCCAGGTGAATCTGATGGAGGTGCATTGTATGCACAGCCATTTGGACAACCAGTTGTCTTGTGTAACCAATTAATGCAATAAAAAATGTGAGGTGAAAAGATTCTATTTCAAAATGTGAAGCCGTGTCTTCTTGACTTGCTTCTTTATTTAGCCAAGTGGTTGTTCAGACATTGAACTTTAAGCTTACTTATTAAGCTTTAATAAAACCAATATATTAGGGTGGGGACACAGAATGGAAGGAGGAATGAAAACATTAAAAATTCAACTATGAATGTTTTATTCATTCTGGCAGAACTTGGATTTGAACTCAGGGCGTTATGCTTACTTGGCAAGCATACCTCCCTCAGCTTGCGCCATATCTCCAGCCCTATTTGCTTTAGATTATTTTTCAGTGTCTCGCTTTTTGTCCAAAGCCAGTCTCCTATTTATGGCTGGGGCACTACCATGCCTGGATTTTTGGTTCAGGTAGAATTTTGCTAACCTTTTGCCTGGGCTGGCCTCAGACTACCACAGTCCCAGTTTCTTTCTCTGAGTAGCTAATATTACTACAAGTTTGAGCTAGCACACCCAGTATGAATGTTTATAACAAAAAAAAAAATCTGGGGCTGGGAAGGTGGCTCAGTGGTAGAGTGCTTGCCTTGCATGCATGAGGCCCTGGGTTTGATTCCTCAGCACCACATAAGCAAAAAGAAAAAAGCTGGAAGTGGCGCTGTGGCTCAAGTGGTAGAGTGCTAGCCTTGAGCTGAAGAGCTGAGGGACAGCGCCCAGGCCCAGAGTTCAGGCTCCATGACTGGACCCAAAAAAAATAAATAAATAATCTTATTTTACCGCTTCCTATTTACTGATAAGCTACTACTTGATATTGTTTTAAGCCTCCCTCATTTTCTCATTTTGATTGATAGCACTTTTTTTCCAAGAACATGTTATCCCATTTTTATATGTTAGGAGTAAAATGAATCTTAATCAGTATCCTGACTTTTAAAACCTTTCAGTGGCATTTTTTAAAAAATTATTTCAGATGATGAAGAAGTTACACCAGCAAGAGATGTGTCTCGTCACTTTGAAGATACTAGTTATGGATATAAGGATTTCTCAAGACATGGAATGCATGTTCCAACATTTCGTGTCCAGGTAAAAAGTGCAACTTGTTTATGTGCACGATTAGAAAAACTCAGATTTGAGAAAAAGTGACCTAGATTTGAAAATTGCTTCATAAGCATTATCTAAGAAGCAGGACCAGCTATGGCCTCTAGTTCCTGAAAAGAAAACTTGAAACAGTTGAACTGTAAGATTTTTGTTTCTTTGCTTAAAAAGCTAAGTTACTGTTTGAAAGGAATTTTTTTAGGCATTAGGAAGAATTAAACTTGCTGTGAAACAATAGATTAGAAATCATGAAATATAATAGGTTAGAAATCAAAGAAGTTTTTATGAAGGGAGTTAAAGTTTAAAGGATTTGGATGGTCAAAACAAAGGGTAGGTAGATTATAGCTCAGCGGTAGATGACTTGCTTAAACTTGATATTTAAGACCCTGGGTTTGGTCCTCAGCACTGCCAAAAGGTAGAGGAGGGAATAAGCAAAGGATTGTAAGAAGTAATTTGGCTTCCGTTTAGGAATCAGAGACTGGGTTGTACCTACTTCTATGTTAGTGGGAAATTAATTTAAAATTAGATGTGACTGAAATATCAAAACAGTTTGAACGAGGGTTGGAAGTTTTGACCAGAGAGATGCTTTAGAAAAAATAAACAGGGAACAACATAATACTAGGAGCTTATTAGGTTTTGTTTGAAGTAGAAGGGAGGTAAAGAGACTTTTTGTAGGGAAATGAATTAGAAGCTTCATTAATAAGGCTGAAAGGGTGGTTAGGGCTAGGAGAATGAGTGATGAGTATATTGAATTAGAAATTCACTTTTTTATTGTTGACATATATTGAGAGAAGATGTTGCTATGTCACTCAGGCTGGCCTTAAACTCTAGATCCTCCTGCCTTGTCCCCTTCCCACCACCATCGCCAGTGCTGAGATCACAAGCATGAGCTGCTGTGACTGGCTTAGAAATTCACTAAGTTTAAAAGGACTATTTGATTGGCTTCGGTGGGGGAAAATGAGAGGACTGTCAAACTAGGTCACCTCAATAGCCTGAGTGGAAAGACTTGGGGAAGCTAAAATTCAGTAGCTTATAAGTAAGAGGAAAAGACTGCCTTTATTGGTTCTTAAACTCATTGTTACAAAATATAACCTTTTACATGTTGCAGTATGGAAATGGAGATCATCATATTGGAATACAGATTGCTAGGCGCTCCAGGTGAAAGACAGTGAGTTGCAACTCCCAGCAATCTCACCACACTGCAGAGCTGGGGATACATAACTATTTGGCCACATTTTAATTATTTGTATGTGTTCTATTTCTATTATTTAGGACTATTGCTGGGAAGACCACGGCTATTCTTTGGTAAATCGACTTTATCCAGATGTGGGACAGTTGATTGATGAAAAGTTTCACATTGCTTACAATCTTACTTATAATACAATGGCAATGCACAAAGATGTTGATACCTCAATGCTTAGACGGGCTATTTGGAACTATATTCACTGCATGTTTGGAATACGGTTAGTCTGTTTATGTTTAAAAAGATACTTTCCTCTACACCTAAATTACTTGGGTGTCTGGAATGTACCCAAACACAGATAACCATCCTCTCTCCCAGGAACTTATTTTTATGCTTCTTATGCTTCACAGAACAACTTTATTGCAGCTTCAGTTTTCTCCCTCTGTTCTAGCAAGGAAGAGTGACTGGAAGGGAAAAGAAATGACAGATACCTCCAGGGAATGGGGGGGCGGCAAGTAAGATGGTCCCAGAACATAGATGAGAAGAAGCAGTTTGTCACCAAACATCTGGGTCTAATCTCTGTGATCTTCTACCTCTTGGCCCTATGGCTGTTCTCAAGATCCTTTGAAGAGTCCTAATCCCATTAATACTTCATCTAATGGAAAGCTTATGTTCTTACTGTTAGGTTTCAGTAACACGATGTTTTACAGAAAATGCAGTCAGCATACACTCACAAGTGCACACAAACCCCATGCTCTATTGCTTTCTGGTTATTTTAGCTGTAAAACCAGCTTTCACTTATCCCTCAGTTTTATCTATGACTCTGGTCAAAATATACTAGTCCTCTTTAATTTATCTAAACCGCTCAGGCCTTTAAGGCATATCTGACCAGTTTTAAACTAATTTCTACAAATGTGTGGCAGACTGTTGGTTTGAGCTTCTTAAGATAGTTGTAGTGCCGGCTTTGCCCAATACTCTTTTCCTCTGAAAACTCAATAGGCAGTGCCTGTGTGATCTGTAATGTATTGCCTTTGATTTATTGGAGATACTTGTGAGACCATGTATAAGCCAGCCCTCTGCTCCACCCACCTTCCTGCTGTTTTTCTTGTCTGACCTCAGAAACTGCTTTTTACAGTTTTATAACATAATAGTACCAATAACAAATGTAATTGCTGAATTTCTTAACTTCCTCACTGGTTTTTCAGATTTAGTTCCTCACAGTATGGTTGCCTGTTCACTGTAAATATATACTCTTGCTAAATGCCCAGTGTTATTATGTTAATATTGTCATTTTTCAGGAATTGTTTTCTTGAGTAATAGAACATTTTCTCTTCCTCTCCCAAAGTTTACCTTTATGTTTACCTACCACCCCCAGGTGAACGTTATAAAGTTGTCATTTAGGGGGATCAGCTGCACACACAGAGGGAATACAGCATATACTACTACTGTATACTATTGTAAAAAGAGAGCAGATTATACAGCAGATTAAACAGATTATCCTTCTCAACTATGTCTTTTAACAGATATGATGACTATGACTATGGTGAAATTAACCAGTTATTGGATCGTAGCTTTAAAGTTTATATCAAAACAGTTGTTTGCACTCCTGAAAAGGTTACCAAAAGAATGTATGATAGCTTCTGGAGGCAGTTCAAGCACTCTGAGAAGGTATGTACCTACTGGGGTTGTTTACTCTAGTTCAGCATTGATTCTTACTTTCCTTTACCTAATTTAGTGGCTCTCAAACCAAAGAGCATTCCAGGACAGTTGTCTCAGGTACTCCTTAGTCAGGGGAGGGAGCCTCATTTTGACAGAGTAAAAGAATAAAGGCAGGAAGGTGAGTGCAGTTCTGGCATAGCTATCACCACATAGAAGAAAGAAGACTATTTGGCAGGAGCTCCTTTCAGTCATAGTGTACAGGTAGAAATGTCTGTTCTCCTTGAAGCATTCTTATAAAAATTAATGAAAATTTGGCAGGGGGTACTGGTGTTTTGCTAAATCAATATCTAGATTGTTTTTGAAGTATAACACAAAACATCTATCCATAAAGAAATCAGGGAGTTTTCTTTTGAGAAATTAATATCCTGTTCAGCAAACCCAGACTTCTAAGCTATTTGGTGCCCCATACAAAATGTAGTTATTATATATTTGATTCATATAACCACGAATCAGATATTAAGAAAAAGTTGTCTTTGCATTGACTATGTAGACTTTTGCCATTGTTCACTATATTTACATAGCATTATAAATAATGTAGAGATGGGTTGCAATGTGCATGAGGATATTCCACAAATACTGTCTTGGAACTCCAAGAACATCCTAGAACCAGTCATCCATGGGATATTAAGAGCCAACTGTTTGTGATGTTTATTAAATGATTGGAAAAGCTGTGCTCATGAGTGTTTGTAACTCTCCTTTACCTGATGTTGTATTTTATATTCAGGTTCATGTTAATCTGCTTCTTATAGAAGCTAGGATGCAAGCAGAACTCCTTTACGCTCTGAGAGCCATTACTCGCTATATGACCTGATGCCTTTCCTCCATTAAAGATGATTCTGGAATGCTCAGCAAATATAGTCTGCAAGGGGAAGGTACCAAGCCCCAGGACCAATGGTAGATAAAAGAATTCAGAATCCATTGTGCCATGATTCCTTTAGTTTCTGCTATTCTACTGTGGAAATGCCACTGCTGGCACAAGCAGTGAGTGCTTGGCAGCTTAAGGTTTAGAGCCATGAAGAAGGGCTGCTGTTCACAGTATTTTGCTTCTTGACAGTACAAGATGCTGAATAATTGTTATAATACAGCAACTAGTAATTCTCCAAATCCTGTTGCTTTTATGTTAAATAAGATAACAAGAATTGGAGCATGCAGAGAATGGGACTTCGATAATGACTAAGATTTACACAAAGAATTTTAGAAGAACTTGGTGCTGCTATCCTGGCTGGTGGAATGAATTAGATGGCTGTTACAGTTAAGCCAGTAGTGACTCAAGTGAATACTGCTATTATCTGAGCCTACGTACAGAATTTGTGTGGTTTCCAATTAAACTTGCGTACATGAGGGTGGGGGTGCATCTAAAAAAACTATAGAATTATTACAGCTAAGACTGTTTTGATGATAACATATCATTTCTTTCATTGTAGTTTTTAAATTCAGTTATTGGATGATACTAAATTACAGAGGCATTGTTAAATTTTTCTTCAAAAAGCAATCTTAAATGAAATTGTGTGAATTGTAGAAAAACTGGCTGTGTTTTGTTAAGCTGTTTCACAAGATTCTCCAACATTGGAGCAGCTGTCTGTGGGAAATGTCACTGTGGACTGCCGTGCAGTCCCAGGTGCCATGCATCCCTGTGCTCCTCCACCGAATGGTCCCTACTTTAAAGGATGTGCAGCTCCTTAAATAATAAAAGCTGGAAAATATTTTTAGTCAGGTTATCACATTTGATTTACAAAACTGCTAGTCAGGTTATCACATTTGATTTACAAAACTGCTAACTTTGAAATACAAACAGGTTTGAAAAAAATGTATTAAGTACTTTGTATTCTGGAAGCGTGAATTTGCTTTTGAAGTCTGTCAGTATTACTGGTATTTTTCAATAAAGAATAATTTTCTCCAATTTTCTTTGTTGTCTCAATTTCTTAGTCTTAGCTTCATAATTAGTAACAATTCTGGGATTCTATTTACTTTCAGAAAAGCCAAGTAGATTCACATTAACACTGTAATCAGACAAGAGACTGCTATTAAATGACAAAAAGTCCTGAGACCATTTTGGAGAAACAAAGAAGAGTTGACCCTTTTTAGGGTCTTATAAGACGATTTATATTTTGAAAGTGACTGTTGTAGTCCCATGTCTGATCCATACCATACTCAATCAGAATATTTAGTTCCATTTTAGGGTGGAAGGGAGAGGATAGGGAAATACAACTTTGAATAGACAAGGTACTTTCAACTCAAGGATACTGTATTAGTCCATTTTCTGTAGGTGTTAGTAGAATACATAAGAATGGGTAATGAGATTTGATTTGTCTCACGGTTCTGGAGAAGATCCAGATTGGTAAAGCACATCTGATTAGGACCGCATGCTGCTTCAGCTCATTGTAGTAAAACAGAAGAGGAAGCAGGTGCCTGTGAAAGAAAAGGGGGGCCAAACTCTTGCAGTAGCCAGCTCATTCTTGTATGAAAAGTAACTCAATCATAGGATGTACCCCCATAAAACGTCCCCCCACCAAGCTGCACATCTCATCATGCCAATACATGGAACTTTCAAGGGACACAGTCAAGTCATAGTTAATAGACCCTTGAGAGAAGACTATAACCTTAGAAATACCTTCAGTATATACTTAAAGAAATGTATGTGTCTTTCTAGTTAGCTAACTGATACATACATGGTCCTACCCACTGAGTTGGCATCATGCCTATGCCTCTGTTGTCTTTCCATAGCAATACAAAGTGAGCTCAGTAAATAAGACTGCACTGGATATAATTTAGATTTTACTTATTCTTCCATTCATTATTTGCATGTTAATGGAAAATACAAAATTTCTACTACGGGATATTAGCATAAATAAAACAATTATTTAGATTGATCAATCATTGAAGCAAATTTTTAATGAGTAAAATATGTTTATATCTAAAGTAGTATGAGTGCATGTGTGGCAAGAATTCCAGGGAAAAGAAAGCCTTACACTTCTTGGTGAGATTGTAAATCAGTCTGGCCACTATGGAAACCAATCAGTATGGTATTTCCTCAAAAAGAATATAAACCTGCAGGAATGTAAATCACACAGTAGCAATATCTGCACAGCATGTATATAGTAATGCTATTCACAATAGCCAAGTGATGGAATCAGTCTATGATATATATAGACAATGTTCAGCCATAAAGAACAAAATGCCATTTGCAGGACAATGGATGGAAGTGGAGATGATCATGTTAAATAAGCCAAATACAGACTACATCTGGATTTTCTTTTTAAGATGGGAGGAGGGAAGGGAATAGAAGAGGGTAATTGAAGGATAAATATGTTCCAAAGTTCCATTATATACATACAGTATTTGAAATGTCATAAGCCCATTAAAGATGTACAAAAGAAAGACAAAAAAGGAACAGTGTGATACAAAGCTGATGTCTCAATGCTTTTCATTTTCCTGTTACTTGTTTTCTATAAACACAGGATTTTAGTGTCACTAAGTCATGTATATATGGTCATGGGGCCTAACTCTGGGTCTGGGTGCTGTCCCTCAGCTCTTCAGCTCAAGGCTAGTGCTCTACCACTTGAGCCACAGTGCCACTTCCAGCTTTTTCCGCTTATTTGGTGCTGAGGAATCAAACCCAGGGCCTCATGCATGCAAGGCAAGCACTCTACCACTAAGCCACCTTCCCAGCCCCAACTAAGTCATTCTTTAAATGGATAGCTTCCATAAAATAACTGGGGAGGGTAGTATATTCTAAAGGGCATCTAAAAATTCCTTTTTCTAAAATAACCATAAAAAGATTCCTAGTTGTTTTCAGGACTCAATTTTTTTAAGATCTGAGGGGCTTTGCATTAAAATTTAAGGAACTTTATTAGGGCAAACTTAAGTATCTCATACTTAAGAATGGATTAAGTTTCAAACATTTCTATATTCACAGTTATTGAGGTCAACTATGCAAAGGCTGATATTTCTTAAAGGCCAATTCTTAATCTTTTTTGGGGGGGTCCATCATGGGGTTGAACTCTAGGCCTAGCCACTGTCCCTGAGCTCTTCAGCTCAATGCTGCTCTACCACTTGAGCCACAGCACCACTTCAGTTAATTGGTGGTTAATTGGTGGTTAATTGGAGATAAGAGTCTCATGGACATTCCTGCCTGGGCTGGCTTTGAACCATGATCCTCAGATCTCAGCTTCTTCAGTAGCTATGATTACAGGGGTGAGCCACTGGTGATGCCCAGCAGGCCAATTCTTCTAATAATTTAGCTATTGTAGATTTTCTGCTCATGGTGACTCATACCTGTAATCCTAGCTCTTGGGAGGTGAAGAGCAGAAGGATTGAGGTTCAGGGCTAGCCTAGGCAAAAAGTGAACAGGACCTCATCTCCAATTATCTGGGTGCTATTAAAGATAGAGCCGGTTGAACATGATTAGGTCAAGAAGGCTTGATTTCATAAATGGGATTCGGGCCTGTATAAAAGATTTCTGAAGAAGTTTGCCCCTCCACCCTGTGAAGTCACTTCTCAATAGTGTTATCCCTCACCAAACACCGAAACCTTGATTTAATCTTTACCAGCCTCTCAAATTGTGAATAAATGTGTTATATGTCATTACCTAAAAGAATTTTGTTAAAGTATCTTGAACAAATAGAGACAAGATGAAAGAGTTGTACACTGTCAGAAATTCGGAAAGACAGGGATTGAATGACTTACTACAATGTTAATGTTATGTACTCAGCCCAGCCTAAAGATCCAATGCAATCCCTATGAAAATTTCAATGGCATTTTTTTTTTGCAGTAGAAAATGGCATCCTAAAATTTAAACCTCCAAAGACCTTTAAAAAGAAAGGAAGAGTCTCACAACTTTCTGATTTCAAAACATTACAAAACATGCGTAATCAAACCAAGGCAGATATAATGTGGCATAAATACAAACATAATGAGCATAATGATACACACTTGTAATCCCAGCAGTCAGGAGACTGAAACTGTTCATGAATTGGAGGCCAGTCTAGGCTATTACATAGCAAGACCCTGTCAAACTAACTGGCAAACACATAGACCAATGGAATAGAATGAAGAGCCAAAAAAATTAATCCTTATATGGTCAAGGATGCCAAGACTGCTCCGTGAGGAAAGGCAATCTCTTCAACAAATGGAATTGAGGAAAGTAGACATCCATATGCAAAAAAAAAAATCTTTCCTGAAGTCATATACTAAAATTCATCCAATGCCTTGGCAAATCATATATTTTGTAAGAATATTCATATTATAAGTATATTCTTAGAATATTTTACAAGTGACCAGCAAACAAAAGAGATGAAACAAAAAGTATGAAAAGATGTTAACTATAAGAAATTCAAATCAATGCCACAATGAGGTGTTACTTCATACCGTCTAGTTATGATACATAATAAAATGTGTTGAAAAAGACTAGAGAAACTGGAACCACTGTGTACTTTTTTTTACATAGTGGTATTGCCACCATGGAAAACAGGATGTTGGGAGATTTAGTTGTTTGGGTTTAAGGTTTTATTGTTTTGTTTTTGGTCTGTCATGGGCCTGAACTCTGGGCCTGGTCGCTGTCCCTCAGCTCTTCAGCTCAAGGCTAGTGCTCTACCATTTGAGTCACAGTGCCACTTCCGGCTTCTTTCTGTTTATGTGGTGCTGAGGAATCAAACTCAGGGCCTCATGCATGCAAGGCAAGTGCTCTACCACTGAGCCACTTTCCTAGCTCCTCCCTGAGCTGCTTTTGTTCAAGGCTTGCACAATATCACTTAAGCCACAGCACCGCTTCCAACTTTTTTCTGAGAAGTTTATTGGAGATAGTAGTATCACAGACTTTCCTGCCGAGACTGGTTTTGAACCATGAGCCTCAGATCTCAGCCTCCTGAGTAGCTAGGATTATAGCTGTGAACCACCGGTACACCTATCATGCTATGGAGATTTTGTTTTTAAATTAAAAGTTCTATGATCCAGCATTTTACGTGCTATGAGTTGAATGTTTCTCCTCAAAATTAACATGTTGAAGCACTAATGAAGTCTCTAGGAGGTAATTACGTCATTAGGGCAGAGCTCTTATGAGTGGGATTAATATCCTTAAGAGTCTCTCTCATATTCATTCATTCTCTCCCTCATTCTCCCTGCACCTTGTGAGCACTCAGCAGGAAGGCACTTCTGCAAATGAGGAAGAGGCCCTTACCAGGAACTGAATTAGCTAGTACCTTGATCTTAGACTTTACAGCCTCCAGAACTATAAGGAATAAACTTCAGTTGCTAATTCACCCAAAGTATCATGTATTTGTCATTACAGCCCAAAGTAACACTCGTGTGTGTGTGTGTGTGTGTGTGTGTGTGTGTGTGTGTGTGTGTAGAAAAGGCTATCAAGGAACTATTCAAATACCCATATTCACAGCAGCATTATCCACAATAGCTACCTGGACACAACTCAAATGTCTAACAAGAGATGAATAGACAAACAAAATGTGACAAGAGTAGAGGGAGGGAAAGATAGACAAAGGGTGGCAGGGAAGAAGAATGGAGATAGACAGATAACAACTCTGCCCTTAAAGGGAAGGAAATCCTGTCACAAGCTATAACACAGTTGAACCTTGAAGACATTAGGCTAAGTGAAATATGCCAGTTACAGAAGGACAAATACTATGTGGTTCCACTTGTGAGATCTAAAGTAGTCAAATTCATAGAACCAGAAAGTAGACTGGTGGCTGCCAGGCTGGGAAGAAGTGCAGGAGTTATTGTTTAATGAGTATAGAGTTTCTGTTTACATGAAAAATTTCTAGAGACCTATTGCAGAATAATGTGAGTTAACACTATTGAACGAAACGTACCATTGTACTACTTAAGATGTAATATATATGGAGAGAAAGTACTATTTTTTGTACTATGTATATAGTACAAAAGCAAGTAGATGATTTCAAATAGTGCATCTTGCATGAATCTAAAGGGAAAGATTTGATGTTAGAAAATAAGTATAATGCAAAAAAATAAGTATAATGCATTCAAAAAGAAAATAAGTATAATGCATTCTACCATGAGTTGATTATAAATACTGAGGGAGGAGTATGCTTTAGATGAAGACTTTGATTTTTTCCTCACTGAAAGTAAACTATATATACCTTTCTGTGGATAAAATATAAACTTACATTCTTACATATGTGGGAGAGATTAGCCCCTCAGGAGGATTAAGCTATTTCATCTTAGACTGAACCCACTCACATGTACTTATGGTTTGTGGGCTACAGTGAAGTCAGTGTCCATATGGATTGGCAGAGCCCTGACCAGTGATGAGTCCCAGATGATGCACCAGCGTGAAGTCCTATGCAGAAATGTAGGTTACTCTAATGGGCTTCTACAGCCCATCCACCCTGGGATAATAACCCCATGGTTATTTTTAAGGTGAAATATAAGCTGTTAACAGCTTTTTTCCAAGCAGAGAACTAAGCATGCTGTTATTTCTAAATCTTCATTGGACTAGTATAGGATAAAAATAGTAATCTCAATTTCTTTGTCTTTTTAAGTCCTTTATTTGAAGGGAAACATATCCCACAAAGAATGACAGGCTAATTGCCATCATAATATTATTATTTACTGAATACCTACTACAAATCATACACTGGACAACCTAAGTATTTAATATTTTGCCCTAAACTACACTGTAATAAAATAGATAATGTTCTCATTTGAAGTGTAAAGTCCAGATATTAAGTTATTTCCATAAGGCCCACATAGCTAGCAAGGGGAAAGTCTGCCATAAACCCAAGCTTAAACTCTTTTCTGATGTCATCTCTGATAGACACAGAGTAAGAATTAAAAGGACTGAGTCCAGTTATTTTATTTCAAAACAAAAGTAAAATACTCTTTCATCTATTATACTTAATAAAAATAGCTGACCCAAAGCAGAGTTTGTCTATGTATTTCTTCTAACTTAAGGACCAAAAAACTACTGGTACCTAGTCAGAAATTTTATTTGTAGATGTACTAAGAATTAGTACAGTTGTTAAAATAGTTACATATATATGGCACCTCCCTACCATTCTTCCCATGAATAAAATCTAAGTCTTTACTTACATACTTAATGTAACTAATACACTAGTACATGCTTAAATTCTAAAACTTTTAAATTAGGATTTTAAGACCACCACTAATTTATCAGAGAATAAAAAGTCTTTAACTTAAAAATGCATATATTTTCATCGTATACTCCTCATAGCAGAAAATACAACATGGATTTATTTTCCCAAAATACCTAAAAAGAGGAAATGCTTATTTCTTTTAAAATATTTAGGTTACTCACTAAAATCAGTACTTTAAAAACTTTCAATATTTGTTAATACTGAAAAAATGTTCATGTTTGTTACCACTTCTTAAGAACCAAGAAGACCTGATTTCCTGCTCTGCTGGTGATTTGCATCGTGTTAAAAAGAAGGAATAGGTAGAGGCTCCAGGAAGGTGTGGTGACTCTGAATTCGGTGTAGAAGCTGCTTTGCCACAGGTTTGAATTCGGTTTCCCAGTGGATTTTGTGATAGTTTTTTAGGTCCTGATCAGAACTGCCATCCAGTGCTAGTTCTTCATCTATATCAGAAAAATTGAAATTATAGTATTTAGAAATGGAATCCTGCTGAATAGTTTACATTTTGATGATGTGTTAAACTCATCATGAATTTAATAATACCAACAAGATGCACCTAGTATTTGGGATTCAAAGGTTCTTAGGCCAGGCAGGTGCCAGTGGTTCATGCCTATAATCCTAGCTACTCAGGAAGCTGAGACCTGAGGATGGCAGTTCAAAGCCAGCCCAAGCAAGAAAATCTGTGAGACTCTTATCTCCACTAAGCTAAAAAAACAAACAAACCTGGAAGTGGAAAGTGGACCTGTGGCTCAGGTGGTAGAATACTAGCCTTGAGCACAAAAGCTCAGAGATAACGCCTGTACCCACAATTCAAGCCCCAGGACTGGCCAAAAAATAAAAGGGATTCTGTTTTTGTTGTTGACTCTGTGTGTGTGTGTGTGTGTGTGTGTGTGTGTGTGTGTGTGTGTGTGTGTGTGTGTGTGTGTGTGTGTGTGTGTGTACACATACCTACATACATATGATAGGTATTGGTTCTCAGGCTTGAGCTTTTTTGCTTGAGGCTAACACTCTACCACTTGAACCATAATTCCACTTCCCAAATTTTGGTGGCTAATTGGAGTCTCTCAAACTTTCCTGACCAGGCTGGCTTCAAGCCACGATCCTCAGGTCTCAGCCTCCTGCTTAGCTAGGATTGCAGGTGTGAGCCACTGGTACACAGCTAAAAAGCTTTTTATTCTACCAGTCCATTTCCTTTTTTTCTGACTAGTAAGATAGGGTCTTCACAATGTTATCCAGACTGGTCTTGAATTCCTAGGCTCACAAAATCCTCCCACCTCAGCCTCCTAAGTAGGAAATGACCATATGCTGTAAAAGTAAGAAAATAAAAATAAAAAAGTCTTCTTTTTCCTTTTAGTGGTTCTGGGAAGTGAACAGGACTTCACACTTACAAGGCAGGCACTCTACCACTTAAGCCACTCTACCACCTCCTTCAACTCCCTTTTCATAGGTTATTTTTGAAGTAAGGTTTTGCTTTATGCCCAGGCCAGACAGGACTTCAATCCTACTACTTGTGCTTACTTTTCCATGTTGCTGGGATAAGAGACAGATGCACAGCCATTGTGCTTCCCCTGTAGTTGTACACTGTTACACACAACTACTAGATGAGATGGGGGTCTCTCACACTGTTTTGCCTAGGCTGGCTTTGAACCTCAATCCACTTGCCAAGTAGCTAAGATTACATGCTTGAACAACTAGACTGGATTCAAAACACTTTTAATGGTTGTTTTTTAATACCAAGTTTTGAACTCAGGGCCTCAAACTTGCTAGACTTGCTAACTTAGCAGGCACTCTACTACTTGAGCCATGCACCCAGCCCCGGTTTTGTTTGATTGTTAGTGAGATGAAGTTTTGAAGGCTTTTCGGCCTGGGCTGACTTCAAACCATGATTCTTTGGATCTCAGCCACCTGTTATAGGCATGAACCACCAGCACCTGGCAAAAAAGGCTTCATTAAAGGAGTTATTTATTGTCTTTTATTCTTTACAAATATTTTAAAACAAGACTTCTTGTTTAGGCTGTATTTTTCTGAGATGGGATTTTGCTAAACAATAGTCCAAACTAGCCTCAAACTTAAGATCTCCTCCTCTGCCTCTCAAATACTGGAATTTCAGGCATGTACTGACTACTCAGCAAAACAGATTTTAGTCTCTTAAGAAGGCAGTCATTGCCTTTAAAGGGGCGGGGGGAGAGGCTGGGAAGGTGGCTCAATGGTAGAGTGCTTGCCCTGGGTTTGATTCCTCAGCACCGCATAAGCAGAAAAAGCCGGAAGTGGCACTGTGGCTCAAGTGGTAGAGCACTAGCCTTGAGCTGAAGAGCTGAGGAACAGCACCCAGGCTCAGAGTTCAGGACCCACAACCAACCAAAAACAAATTAAAAAAAAAAGGAAAAAAAAAGCCAACTTAAGATTGACTTCTTTTTTTTGGTCCGGTCGTGGGGCCTGAACTCTGGGCCTGGGCACTGTCCCTCAGCTCTGGGCCTGGGCACTGTCCTTCAGCTCTTCAGCTCAAGGCTAGCGCTCTACCACTTGAGTCACAGCGCCACTTCCGGCTTTTTTCTTTTTGCTTATGTGGTGCTGAGGAATCGAACTCAGGGCCTCAGGCATGCAAGGCAAACGCTCTACCACTGAGCCAACTTCCCAGCCCAAGATTGACTTCTTTTAATAATTAATTGAATTTGTACACAAATTTATATCCAAAAGTTGGATTATAATTTCATTTACCAAAGGATTAATAAATAACTTCTTTATATGCATAGTAGAAAAGTTAGTTATTTCGATGACTTACAGAAAAAGGAATCAGGAAATATTTTGGGAAAGTAGGTAATCTAAATTTGACACTTAACTGAAGGGCAGGAATGTAGCTCAGTGGTAGAGCATTGGTCTAGCTTGTGAAGCCCTGAGTTATAGATCCCTAACACTATAAGAAAATAAAAACAAACCTAGCACTGCTGGCTCATGCCTATAATCCTAGCAATTCTGTAGCCTGAGATCAGAGGGTTTGAAACCAGCCTGGGCAGAAAAATCTATGAAAATCAAATATCTTTGTCTCTAATTAACCAGCAAAAAAGCTCAAAGTGAGGGTATGACTCAAGTGGCAGAATAGCAGCCTTGAGTGAAAAACTAAGGCCTAAAACCAGCACGTGTGCGCAAAAGTAAAAAAACAACAACTGCAAATTGGGAATTGAGTGTGGCTTTTAAACTATCAGAATCATATCCCCCTCCACTTCCTCCTCCTCCTGCTCTCTTCCTCTTCTTCCTCTTTTTCTTCTGTCCTGGGCTTGAACTCAAGGCCTGAGTACTATCCCTGGGCTTCTTTTACATAACTCTAGCACTCTACTACATCTTTTACATAACTCTAGCACTCTACTACATGAGCCACAGCACCACTTCTGGCTTTTTCAGTTGATGTGGTACTGAGGAATCGAACCCAAGGCCTCATGCATGCTAGACAAGCACTCTACCATTGAACCATATTCCCAGCTCCCAGAATATACTTCTTTGAAATGCCAACCAACCCTTTAAGGACGGAAATGTAGTTCAGTAGTGGAACATTTATCTAATATAAGATGCCTAGGTGCTGTCCTTGAGCTTGTTTTGCTCAAGGCCAGTGCTCTACCACTCTGAGTCACAGCTTCACTTCTGGTTTTCTTTTGGTTAATTGGAGTTAATTACACTGTCCTGCCTGGGATGGCTTTGAACCACGATCCTCAGATCTTATTAGCCTCCTGAGTAGCTGGGATTACAGATGTGAGGCACCAGCACCTGACTTTTAATTTCATTTTTTTTTTTTTTTTTTTGTCGGTCGTGGGGCTTGAACTCTGGGTCTGGGCGCTGTCCCTCAGCTCTTCAGCTCAAGGCGAGCGCTCTACCACTTGAGCTACAACGCCACTTCCGGTTTTCTGGTGGTTTATTGGAGATCGGAGTCTCACGGTCTCTCCTGCCCAGGCTGGCTTTGAACCGCGATCCTCAGATCTCAGCCTCCTGAGTAGCTAGGATTACAGGCGTGAGCCACCAGCGCCCGGCTTTAATTTCATTTTTAATGCCAGGATACTCTTGAATTCTGTGAATACCATAAACATATCTAATTCAAGCAGAAAGATGAGTGACCACTGAAGTTTCTGTTTATGGTGGGCCTCACCTCCCAACCCAGGTAACAGACTTTCGGAAGGGGCACCAGCGTGCCAGTCAGAAGATTGGCTCTGCCATTTCCTTCCTAGGTCTGTGACCTGAGACAGACTGCTTAGTGCAACCACTAAAATGACCACAAATGTTGCTACTTACATAATTTGCAAACTTTTTTTCATAGGGGCAATTAATATCCTATTATGAAATGCTACATTATTCTGCTTACATCAGATTTTCTACCCTGACTATTTGTGAACGCACCCTGTGTACTTCAGCACTCTGGGTATTAAGGTTACCACCCAAGATAAGGAAGTGTGGAATCCCAGTGTGTACCTTCCCCACCCACCCTCCCCTCACGAGCAAGTAGACAGCTCTGCAGCTCTAAGATAAGTTCCAGGCAGACCCAAACACTTCACAAACCACTCCACAAAGACACTGTAAGCAAGCAAACCTGGCTTTCCCCTCTCCCTCCAGAGATAACCAGAAGGGAGTACAGGGAAGGGAATACTATGTTTGATGACTTCAAAACTCTTCTGTTTGGCTACTGCTTCTGGATAAGAAGAGCCTGCTAGACTCTGAGTGACTTCAGATTTCTACATCATCTTCTGGTTCACCCCTCAAGATATTTTTGGGAGCACTAGAAATTGCTTAAGAAAGGAATTCCCAAGCCAGCCATTGGTAGCTCACACCAGTAATCCTAGCTACTCAGGAAGCAGAGATCTGAGGATCAAGGTTGAACTAGACCAACTGGGCAGGAAAGGCTGTGAGACTCTTATCTCCAGCAAAAAGCCAAAAGTGGAGCTGTGGTTCAAGTGGTAGAATGCTAGACTTAAGCAAAAAGTTCAGAGATAGTGCCCAGGTCCTGAGTTCAAGCTCAGGACTAACACAAAAAGAAAAGAAAGGGAAAAGAAGAAAGGAGAGAAACAGAAGAAAGAAAGCAGCTAGGGCACAGGCTCATGCCTGTAATCCTAGCTACTCAGGAGGCTGAGAGCTGAGGATCGTGGCTCAAAGCCAACATGGGCAGGAAAGTCTCTGAGACTTTTATCTCCAATTCACCACCAGAAAACCAGAAGTGGTGCTGTGGCTCAAGTGGTAGAGCATTAGCCTTGAGCTGAAGAGGTCAGGTACAGTGCCCAGGCCCAGCCCGACAACTGGCAAAAAAAAAAAAAAAAAAAGGAAGGAAGGAATTTCCTTGTTTACGCCCTTCTTTCTACTTAGGGTTTGTGCAGCCACATAATAGTTTTTTGTTTTTTGTTTTTTTTGTTTTTTGCTATAGCTTAGATGAATTTGTTGGTCTAGAATATTTTCTGGTTATTGCTGT